GGTCTTTTCCTTAATGTAGTCTGTCTTTGCATGCTTCTAAAAATATGTACTTACTACTCAACTAGTTAGATGCTTTAATCCATGTTTTCTTCTATTCTCATGTTTAATTTAAATCTTTAATTTAGCTGAAACCGATGAACTGTATTCAGGAAATAATGTAATTTAATCTTTGCAAATGAGTAGAAGAATGGAGTAGAAAACACTCAGAACAAAAGAAAAAACCTCATTCAAATAAAATACATATATTTAAATTTCTTCATTATCATTATTATTATTGGCTACAAATTATCTATTGGTTATAGGCCAGGATCTGTACCAAATGCTCAAAATGCTAGTATTGTAAGGGTAAAAGAAATTGAAGTTGAAGCGTAAAAGTTAAAGGGTAAAAGACCGGGTATTGTAAAAGTTTCTAAGCTGCAAGGTCTGAGTTAAAATGTAAAGGAGGTATTGTTAGGTTTCTATGTTACCTGCAAAACCTGAAATTTCTGTAGCTGTTAAGACAATGCTTAGAACCACCCAGTAAACATTTCCCCTGATTGTCTGGTTGTTTAATAACTGAAGGGGTCTGTGTGGTTGCACGCAGGCCTTGCAGGGCCTGAACCAATCAGTTTGAATGTGTACTCTCCTTAGGAATGACCTATCACTCCAGCCTGACCTGTTCCCGCCAATGAATGAACTAATCATGTTTAGGAGTTGTTGTTCAATTTTCCCGCTCCTCATGATGATTTGTTCTGATGTATACAAAGCCCTCCGCCCTCCCCAAAAAGTGTACTTAAGCAGTGCTCAGCTCCTGCTCGGGGCTCTGGGCTGCTTTCCCTTCTTGAGTGGGCACGGAGCCCCAGCATGCTGGATCAATAAATCCTGCTTCTGCCAATTGCATGAGTGGTCACTTGGTGGTCTCTTTCTCTGACGTTTCGCGGGACCCTTACAGTATTAATTTCTCCATTTTGCAAATGAAGAATGGGAAGCTTAGAAAGGTTAGATGATTTGCCTAATATCATATAGCCACATAAGTAGTGGAGACAAAGTTTGTTAATAGCAGTAATCCTGTCTTTCAAAAAAATGACATGAGCTTCATTCATAATCCAGCTTCAAATAATTATAAGATTGTTCTTCATTCTATCCTTAACAAAATGGAAGTAGTGATACATATGGCTAAGTTTAGAGTTAATCAAAATTTCTAAACCTCTGAAAGAATGAAGTTTCTCATTAATACATAATTTTCTCTTTGAATCTAGAATAACTGCAACAAAATTATTAGTGATTGTGTTTGAGCAGGAGTTTTTTAATTAATACCTGCTCCAAATTAATATTTGAAACATGAAAATGTGTATCATTGCTAGTTAGCCATATATGGTTAAGAAATTAGAAATTTTTAAATTGAGAGAAGAGATAAAAAGGACAGAAGATAAGTATATATTTAAGCTCCTACATTTGGGAAAAGAAAAGAAAAAAAATATACTTAAACCTTGGTTCCATTCTTTGATGTCTGTTGGTAGGAAAAGCAAGGCACAAGACAGAACTACAACTCCAAGTAATGGGAGTCTACTGTGTTCAGATGTGTCCCAATTAAGTTCTCAGGTGCAGGTCCAAGCCACACAGCTGAAGAGACATTTTGGCACATTATATTTTTACCAAGATGTACAAGCTTCATTCTTCCTGTGAGTTCTCTCCAACTACCTAGAATCTTACTCCACCTCAAAAATATGATGGTTATCAGAAATGTGATGAGGGATGGATAAGGGGAAAGTAGGAATGAATCTTTGAGTGAAATTCTGTAGAGGTAATTTTTTAAATACCTTGACATTTTAAGATTGTGTCAAATTCCTTGCTTATGAGCAAAAGTTAAAGATTTAGAGTCATGATTAAGCTAGTGAATAGAGTCAGGATATTTGCCAGTACTATAATAAATAATTTTTCAGGGAAAATGCTGTTATGATAAATTTTTACATTTAATTGTTATCAAACTCTCTAAATTTCTAAAATGATGTAGGATGTCACAAAATGACAGCTCAGCCATGTATTTCTAAAATAGTAGAGAAAACTGCTTTCATGTTTATCAGAGTTCATTAAGCAGATAGAAACTACATAACAGTTTACTATATAGCAGTTTAAGTTCACTATAAATGATAAGCATCAAGACAATGGAGTGACAAGTGATTGGAGTGGCTATTAAGAGTTAAAGAGAATACTCAAGAATATATAAATAGCAAATGTTATGAGAAGCTACAGCTGCTAGATCTGAGAAAAAACACCCAAGAAAGAGGCCTGACCCAAGGCTGAGATCCAATTCACATCATAGAAGGCACGTCCTTGACTCACTCAATGTCAAAGAAGTCGCTGAGGTGTCACACCAGTGGATTCACCATGTGAATGGCACATTCCATATGCCCATGGAATGCCAGTAAAAGTCATCTAATGGAAGGTGCATAGCTGCTAACATAACTCTACTAAAAAACAACTTGCTATGGTCTGAATGTCTCTCCCAAAATCCTTATGCTGAAACTTAATCACCAGTGTGATAGTATTAAGAGATGGGACATTTAAAAGGTGATTACATTATGAGGTCAAAATCTTCATGGATGAGAATTATACTCTTATTAGGGGACTGAAGTGGGTTTGTTCTCTTCCATCCCAAATACCACATGAGGACAAAGCATTCTTGTCCTTTCCAGAAGATGTGGAAACAAGGTGCCATCTTGGAAGCAGAGAGCAGCCCTCAACAGACACAGAGTCTGCTGGCATCCTGATCTTGGACTTAACTGTGAGAAATAAATTTATAAAGTTTATAAATTACCCATTACTGGTATTTTCTTATAGTAGAACAAACAGAATTAAAGTACCACCCAAATGAGTTATGCTTGGATAAAGTATTCATGGGAGTATGCCCCACTGGCAGCACTCTGCTGCAAAGTTGTCCCCAAGGCAGGTAAAGGGTAGGATTGGAACTGAGAGGCAATAAATCAATAACTGACACACTATGTGTTATATGTTGAATTACATCTTAAAAAAATGATAAGTTGAACACAGCCTGGAATCTGTGAATGTGACCTTATTTGGAAATAGCGTACAGTCAAGTGATCCTTGACAAAGGTGCACAAAGCTTACTTTGGAGAAAAGATAGCCTTTTTAACAAATGGTTCTGGGACAACTGGATATTCCTACATAGAAGAATAAAACTCCCATCTATTTTATCCTGCACAAAATCAATAGATTGTGGATCAAAGACCTAGGAATTAGACCAGAAACACTGAACCTGTTAGAAGACATAGGATCAACTCTCCAACAAATTGACTTAAGGACCTACTTCCTTAATAAGACCCCTAAAGCTCAAGAAATAAAACTGAAAATCAACAAAAGGGAAGGCATATAATTAAAAGGTTTCTGAACAACAAACAAATAAGAATGTTTAAGAGAGCCTATAGAACAAAAGGAAATCTTCTTCAGGTACTCATCCAACAAGGGATTAATATCCAGAATATTCTGCTGTATGTATACACATGGATGTATAACCAATGTGATCCTGCAATCTGTACACATGGAAAAATGAGAATTCATACCCTATTTGAATCAAATGTATGATATGTCAAGATCATTGTATTGTCTTGAGCAACTAATAAAAGAAAAGAAAAAAATATCCAGAATATATAAAGAACTCAAAAATCCTAACATAAAAAACACAAATAACCCAATAAATAAATGGGCAAAAAGTTTTAAACAGATATTTCTCAAAAGAAGAAATAAAAATGGCTACAAATACATGAAAAAACATTCAATATCCTTAGCAGTCAGAGAAGTACAAATCAAAACTACAGTGAGATTTTATCTCACTCCAGTTACAATGGCAGTCATCAAACATACAAATAAGGGTCAGGCTCTGTGGCAAATACCTGTAATCCCAGCAGCTAGGCTGAGGCAGAAGGATCACAAGTTCAAAGCTAACTTCAGCAAAAGTGAGGCACTAAGCAACTCTGTGAGACCCTGTCTCTAAGTAAAATACAAAATAGGGCAGGGATGTGGCTCAGTGGTCAAGTGCCCCTGAATTCAACCCTCAGTACTACCCCCCACTCTGCAAAAAAAATACAAATAATAGCTGGGGTTATAGCTCAGTGGTAGGGTGCTTGCATAGCATAGAGGGTGAGGCACTGGGTTTGAGCCTCAGGACCATATAAAAATAAATAAGTAATGTTATTGTGTCCATCTCTAACTAAAAACATTTTTTAAATACAAATAACAATAATTGCTGGTGAGGACATGGGGTAAAAGGTACACTTATACATTGTTGGTGCAAATGCAAATGGGTACAACCACTTTGGAAAGCAGTATGGATATTCCTCAAAAGACCAGGAAAGGAACTTCTATAAGATCAAGCTACCCCATTCCTTGATATTTATCCAAAATAACTAAAATCAACATATTATAATAATACATGTATACCAATATTTAGCCGTGATGGAACCAGTTTAGGTCTCCATCAAGAAATGAATGTACAAAGAAAATGTGGAGTTTTATTCAGCCATAAAGAAGAATGTGATTGTGTCACTTGCTAGTAAATGGATGAAAATGGAGAACATCATGGTAAATGGAATAAACTAGCCTTAGGAAGTGAAAGGTTTAATGTTTTCTCATTCTATTATATTGGGGAACATAATCTACCAAATCATGATATGTCCATGTATGAACATAATACAATGAATGCCACTTACATATATAATTAAAATATAATAACTAAAATAATAAAAATAACAATAATAATAATAATAGAAGAGAGATGGTAAAGTATAGTAAGTGTATTGGGGCAAAGAAGAAAAGGGAAGTACTGGGGAATAAGATTGACCAAATTATACCATGTGCATGAACAAATATGGCATAATGAATCCCACTATTATGTATAATTATAATTTACCAATAAAAAATAAAATTAAAAAAATAGTGCATATTATAGAAATATGGAAACAGAAAAGCTTTAGAATAAAAGTTGTGACATATAAAGTCTTTACCTTAGAATAAATACAGCCATCCGTTCCAAACACCCACTTCTGAGATTCATCTCCTTTATGTCTGTAATGAGAATGTAATTTAGAGATTGACACTCTTTTTCCACACAGGAACACTTGTAGGTTTCAAATAAAATTATCATTTCCATATTGCCTAGCAAGAGAACAGTCCACACTCTACTAATCTTCACTGCTATTTCAGCATCTAAAGCCACTCCATAAGACAACCAATTTCTCTGCTGTAGTGCAATGCTGTGGTATCCAAAAATGTGGTGTGTGTGTGTGTTTGTGTGTGTGCATGTGCGCATGTATGTGTGTTACCAATAACAATGATGAAAAGTTTTAGAGAATAAATATAATCAATAAGAATATTATAGGAAATTCTCCCCCTACCCTAAAGATCATTTGTGAGACAAAAAGAGAAGAGCTTAATTAGGTATAAGATTTTAAAGTGGTATAGAAAAGGATACCATGAAAAATTAGGAACTTCAAGCAGCTACTGCTGAAATGACTAGAGAATCTTATTAAGAAATATCATGGGGCTGGGGATGTGGCTCAAGTGGTAGCGCACTTGCCTGGCATGCGTGCGGCCCGGGTTCCATCCTCATGCACCACATACAAACAAAGATGTTGTGTCCGCCGATATTTGAAAAATAAATATTAAAAAATTAAAAAAAAAAAAAAGAAATATCATATTCCCTGAGCTAAACCTCAGTAAGGGAAAGAAATCTATAATGTGATGAAGTCAATCATGCTAAAATTAACTAATCATGTATTCATTAATATTTAGAAACTTTACAAAGGTAGGACAAAATGAATTAAATTAACTGTAACAGGATGTTAAACAAGACTTTTACTACTGCCTCTGAGTTTTGACAGAAACATCAAAGGTTGAGAATAAGCGGTGTCAGGTAATGTTCAATTCTAAAAGAAGATGCTATTTGATCTGGGCACAACATATAAAAGCAGCAATCCAAAACTGGTTCAGTGCCTATCATTCTTCACCCACATTCAGTCTACATAAGGGAATGTGAAGAGTTCATGGACATATTGAAATGGGTGCTTAGTAACAATGTAGGTCTCCAGACCCCTATCCTCAGAGATTTGATTCTGAAGGTCTGGATACCCAAAAACATATGTTAACAGATGTTGCAAGTGATCCTCATTATGGAAGCTTGGGGGATTCATGTGGTCTGTGGATCAGACTAGAGAAACCACTGAACTAGAATGATAAAAGCAGCAAGAAAAGAAAGGTCCAGATATTTAAAGTTCAGAAATAATACATAGATCCTGGGGATATCCTGGCCTAGTACTCCTTTCATAGGTGAATAAGGTGAGATATGGAGAGGTACAATGAACTGGACAAGGCAGAGCAATAGGAATTATCCAAATAGGTACTAGAAGCCAGAGTGTCTGATTATCAGCACGCCACCATCTCAAATGGATTGGAAAAGTTTAACACAAGATTTTTGTGTTTAACTTGAAGATTGAAAATGGTATCAACATTTTAGTCTCACTGATTATAACTTGACATATAATCTCAGAGACTTACTACACATTTATATGACCATAAATGTTTTAATACAATTGTGTAAAATTGTCACCACATAGTTTCATACTATAACAATTTCTCCAGAGGTACTGAGAATGTTAATATTTCAGCCACTAAATGAAGAATAGCAAAAACAGTACCGCTGATCTTTTAAGGCTGTCAGTCTCAAGCTTAGAACTATACTTTATTAAATAAATTAAAAGAGTGATTGTTATACATCTTTAATGAAAATGTGTTGGGTTGTAATAAAATTTAATCCTTGTAATGTGTAAGGGGTATAGCTCATTGCAACTTTATTTCCCACAGGCAGTCCCTCCTGTTGCATAAATTATCATTAGTATATTTGTTCAAGATCAAATGAAAAATGATAGATTTTTCAAGCTATAAGACATCCAAAATCCAAAAATTTTGTCTTTTAGTTGAATTATAGTGTTGGCTTAAAAATAAATTATATTGATTTCAATTTTGACTTTCTTTTTTTAAAAATTTTTTTAAAGAGAGAGAGAGACAGAGAGAGAGATTTTTTAATATTTATTTTTTGGTTTTCAGTGGACACAATATCTTTATTTTTTATTTTTATGTGGTGCTGAGGATCGAACCCAGTGCCCCGTGCATGCCAGGCGAGTGCGCTACCGCTTGAGCCATGTCCCCAGCCCCAACTTTCTAAATTTATACCATCTTTTCCCAATAATAATAAATACAACAGAAAAGATGTATACGAATAGACAATTGATGTGAGGGCAGAGACCAATGTGTATTCTCAGAGCCAATCACAGTGCCTAGCACATGAGATTAAGGACATCTTTAAATGTCAGAATGTTACTATACTAAAAATTAATAATAAGGTCATTATGAAAAGTGTTTTAAAATACAGTTGGCTAGGGGACTTATGGTGCTAAAGAACATGTTACACCTTTTAAGAATGTAAGAAATAATTCTGGAAGAAATATAAGTTTCCAATTATTTGTCAAATTTTATCATAGCTTCAATTCTTTTCTAGCAAATATTTGCCCAGGAAATCTTTCTAAAAATATGCAGTTTTATATCATTGATTAGCCCCTGTGAGCTTAATAGTAGTATTCCTTTGGGAATTTTATTTATATTAATGAACATTACCTTTGAATTTTACTGTTTTTTTTTTTTCAAATCTGTCCAGTAATGCCACATTAGGCAGGATGAGAAGTTATCATTCTAATCTATAATAACTTCCTTAAAAATAAAATTCCAACACAAAAACTACATCTGCTTATTTTTAAGATATTTTTATATGTTAAAAATCAAATTTTATTCAAGATACACTGATGATACTGATTTTAAAATAATGTCAGGGATTTTCTTTTTGGCCAATAAGTAGTGAGCTAGAAAGATTTTTTTTAATTAAAAATAACAATAACAACATCAATAATGAGAAGAATAAAAAATGAAGGAGTAATATTCTACCCCCAAATCAGTTATAAATATCATAACTGACATAAGCTGAACTAAGGTCAACAGACCTAAGTTCGAGCCCTGGATCTGGATCTGACATTAATTAGATATACCTTTAATAGTATATATAGAGACTAAGTGTAGTCTCTACTGGCCTTGGAATTTCTCATAATGATAATGAGTGATATCAATGATATTATCACCATCATCACCACCATTTTGTGTATGTATGTGTGTGTGTGTGTGGGGGGGGTGTCTGGGGATTGAACCCAGGGGCACTCTACCAGTGAGCTATATCCCTAGTCTTTTTTTATTTTTTTGAGACAGGGTCTCAAAAAACACCCAGGCTGGCCTTGAACTTGCAATCTACCTGCCCTAGTCTCTAGAGTAGCTGGAATTTCTGATGTATACCATCACATGTGGCTACTATTACTATTAAGGAGAGGTCTATAGTAGATGCTCTTCAGGGTCCTCTTTCTGAAAGCATATGATTTCCAAGACTATTTCATCTCATGCTGTCATTTTACATGTGAGGGTTTTGGTAAGCTTCCCTGTCCTGGGAAGCCATTTGAAGCTGTCTGAGAAAATGGGGAACTCTTTTTTTTTTTTTTTTTTTTTTTGTAGTGGCTATTGAACCCAGAGGTGCTTTACACTGAGCTACAGCCCCAGTTCTTTTCACTTTTTATTTGGAAACAGGGTCTCACTGAGTTGCTGAGGATCTCACTGAATTACTGAGTCTGTCCTCTTGCCTCAGCAGCTGCACTGGGATTACAGACATGCAACTGTACCCTGTTCTCAGTCCTTAAATTTAAGCAATATCAAGATAAAGTTGAGTTATTTATTATTTTAAAATAATTTTTATCATTGTTCTGGTTACTTGGTAATGACATCGGAGGCTTCCCTTCCTCCACTGATGGTCAGATACACAGAACAGAAAAAAAAAATTAAAGGGAAAATATGTGCACATACTTGCTATATTGAATAAGATGACTGACATCAAATGAGACATAATGAGGCATGATATGTTTACAATACTTTTTGTGAGTTGTCAGGTTGCTACTTTAAGTGCTAGTTCTATTATTTTTTGCATATAAAAGGCTATGTCTTGATTCATAGCTTTTGTTAAAATCATTATACTACTTAGGAAAAGAGGAAAATTTTTTGTCTCTGGAAGTTGCTGTCACATAAGAATATTTATTGTTATTTATAGTGAAATATGGTCACCTTAAAAAATAAGTCAGATACTTTAGATCCTCTAGAAAAGATAAATGCATTTGAGAGTGTACAACTAAAAGTGAGACAAGCTTTAAAAATCTTGATCCTTACTGCTTTTTAAAGAAATGAAAAACAGCTTTATGATGAGATACTCTATATTTCCAAATGTTCTGCTACTTTACCTATACCCTGCAATAGATTTTGTTTCTTGGTTAAAGGCAATCTACATTAATACAAAAGCAAATAATCTTCATTTACATAGAGATTCTCCCCCCCTTTACCTATTCCACCTCTCTCCAACCTTTACTTCTTCTTTTCTAGATTAAACAAAATCATTTATTGAAAATAGAAATTTTCAAACTTAATACATTTTTTTAATAAACTGTCATCTCTTTCTTGCCCAAGTTCTCTCTCCTATAATCAACAATGACATTAAAATCTTGAAATTCAGGCCCACTCAGTTCTCTGACCATCCTGATCAGAGTGGGAAAGAGAGTTCAATAGGCTAAGACTAAGTCAGCTAAAGAAATGTTGCACAGCCGGGCACAGTGGCACCTGCCTGTAATCCCAGCAGCTCAACCGACTGAGGCTGGAGGATTGCGAGTTTGAAGCCAGCCTCAGCAACTTTTAAAATTTTTTTAAACGGCTGGGTTGTGCCTCAGTGGTTAAGTGCCCTTTGGTTCAATCCCTGGTACCAAAAGAAAAGAAAAGTAACATTGCACTACTTTTAATATGCATTATGTCTAGTGAGGACCCTGAACATGATAAACATGTCCATCAAGCTATAATCTTCCTAGCACCTACCATTTTGACCTTGGCCATTGATCAATTCTCCCACTGAGAAAGGCTTTCTTTCAGCATCTTCCTCT